ATAAATACCTATAAATATCCTATCTAATAAAAGGACAATATGCAAATTAACCATCTCTCTGTCACAAAGATGGTTGTGCTGAGTCCTTTCAGCCCCTCCAGAGTCCTCCAGTCCTGGGGGGGTAGGGGGAGCCCAGCGGTTGAGAGCAGACAGCGTGGCCAGGCAGGGGTGCAGATGGGCCTCTGTGCCTCAGAGAGCCTCTGGGCAGCGGGCATGGAGCGGCCAGGTCCTGCAGAAAGCTACTGGTGCACAGATTTGTGCACAGGGCTACTAATATATAATAATCTTAAATGTGAATGGATTAAATGCTCCATTGAAAAGACATAGGGTGATTGAATGGATAAGAAAACATGACCCATATATATGCTATCTATAAGTGAACTGCCACAAAACAAAAGATATACACAGACTGAGAGTGAAGAGATGGAAAAAAATATTCCATGCAAATGGAAAGAAAAAAATGCTAGGGTAGCAATACTCCTATCTGACAAAATAGACTTCAAAACAAAGGCCATAATAAGAGACAAAGAAGGCCAGGACATAATACTAAAGGGAATGATTGAATAAGAAAATATAACCCTTGTAAACATATATGCACCCAATACAGGAACACCCAAATATATTAAAAGAGCACACCTCTTGATGGACTTTAAGGGAGAGACTGACAGCAATACAGCCATAATAGGAGACTTAAACAACCAACTGACGTCACTAGGGAGATCCTCCAGACAAAAAATCAGCAACAAAACAGAGGCCTTAAATGACACACTAGATCAGATGGAACTGATAGTTACAGAACATTCTGTCCCAAAGCAACAGAATATACATTCTTTTCAAGTGCACATGGAACATTCTCAAAGACAGACCACATGTTAAGACACAAAAAAGTCTATAAAAATTCAAGAAGATTGATATCATATCAAGCATCTTCTTGGATCACAATGGCATGAAGTTAGAAATAAAATACAATAATAAAAAAAATTTAAAACTTCAAAGAACACTCAAATACATGGAGGCTAAATAGCATGCTATGAAACCATCAATGGGTTACCAATGAGATTAGGCAAGAAATTAAAAACTTCCAGTAAACAAATAAAAATGAACACACAATCACCCAAAATCTGTGGGACACAGAAGCAATCCTGAGAGGGAAGTTCATAGCATGTAAGACCTAACTCAAGAAACAAGAAAAATTACTAAGAAATTAGCTAACCATACAACTAAATGAATTAGAAAAAAAAAAAAAAACAGTAAGAAAAGCCCAGAGGAAGTAGAAGGAAGGACATAATAAAGATCAGAATAGAAATAAATGACCTAGAGACTAACATACAGTACAAAAGATCAATAAACCCAAGAGCTGGTTCTTTGAAAAAATAAATAAGATTGATGATCCCTTAGCCAGACTCATCAAGAAATACAGAGAGAGGACTCAAAAATAAATAAAGGCGATATAACAACAGAGATCACAGAAATACAAAAGATTGTAAGCAAATACTATGAACAACTATATGCCAACAAACTGGAAAACCTGGGCAAAATATACAAATTCCTAGAAACGTACACCTTCCAAACTCACTCAGAAAGAATCAGAAAACCTGTATAGGCCAAGAACAACTGATGAAATTGAAGCAGTAATTAAAAAACTCGCAGCAAATAAAAGTCCTGGACTGTATGAATTTATAGGAAATTTTACCAAACATTCAAAGAACTAATACCTATACTCCTCAAACTATTCCAAAAATTCCAAGAGGAAGGAATAATTCCAGGCTTTCTATGAGGCAAGCATTATCCTAATTCCAAACCAGATAAAGATACTACAAAAAAAGAAAATTAAAGGCCACTATCCTGATGAACACAGATGCTAAAATCCTCAACAACATATTAGCAAATTGGATCGAGGAACATATTGGGACCAAGTGTGATTTATTCTGGGAATGCAAGGCTGGTACAATATTTGCAAGTCAATAAATGTGATACATCACATAAACAAAAAATGAAAGATAAAAACCACATGATCATATCAATAGATACAGAAAAAGCATTCAACAAAATCCAGAACCCTTTTTTGAAAAAAACTCTCAGTAAAGGGAGAGTAGAGGAATCATACCTCAATATAATAAAGGCCATATATGACAAACCTACAGCCAATATCCAACTCAATGGGTAAAAACTGTTTCCCTTAACAGGAACAAGAGGAGAATGTCCACTTTCACCATTCTTGATGTCCACTTTCAACATAGTACTGGAAGTCCTAGCCATAGCATTCAGACAAGAAGAGATAAAAGGCATCCAAATTGAAAATGAGGAAGTAATGCTGTCATTATTTACAGATGACACAATATTGTACATAGAAAGATTCCACCCAGAAACGACTAGACTTAAAAAAAATGAATTTGGCAAGATAGCGGGATACAAAATCAACATCCAGAAATCAATGGCATTTTTATACACCAATAATCAACTCTCAGAAAGAGAAACTTAAAAAGCAATCCCATTTACCATTTCAACAACAACAAAAAATAAGATACCTAGGAATAAATTTAATCAAGGAGGTAAAAGGCCTGTATTTGGATAACAATAAGACATTGAAAAAAGAAAAAGAGAAAGATATAAACAAATGGAAGCATGCACCTTGTTCATGGATTGGAAGAATTAACATCATTAAAATGTCCATACTACCCAAAGCAATCTATAGATTCAATGCAATCCCTATTTAAATACCAATGGCATACTTCACAGAACTAGAACAAATTCTTCAAAAATCTATATGAAACCATAAAATGCCATACACAAAAATAAACTCAAAATGGATAAAAGACTTAAATGTAAGCCTGGAAACCATAAAATTTCTAGAAGAAAACATAGGCAGCAAAAATCTCAGATATTTCACATAGCACAATTTTTGCCAATACACCTCCCAGGGAAAGGGAAATAAAAGAAAAAATAAATGTGACTACATTAAAATAAAAAGCTTCTGCAGAGTAAAAGAAACCATCAAAATGAACAGGTAACCCAATGTATGGGAGATCATATTTGCCAATGATACATCTGATAAGAGGTTAATATCCAAAATATATAAAGTACTTTTACAACTCAACAAAAGGAAGACAAATCATGCAATTAAAAAATGGGCAGAGGCCCCGAAGAGACACTTCTCCAAAGAGAACATACAAATGATCAAGAGACATATGAAAAAATGCAGTCACTAATCATCAAAGAAATGCAAATTAAAACCACAATGAGATACTACCTCACATCCGTCAGAATGGTTATCATCAATATATCAACAAACAAGTGCTGAGGAGGATGAAGAGAAAAAGTAACACTAGTTCCCTGCTGGTGGGAATGCAGATTAACGCAACGAATATGGAAAAACTATGAATTTAGCAATAGCCCAAGTAGCCATCAATGGACCCCTCCGGGGATGTCCACCTGCTGGCTTAGGGTCCCAGACTGCGAGAGGGCACAGGCCAGGCGGAGGGACCTCCCACTGTGCATCAACGAATGGATAAAAAGCTGAGACATTTACATGATGGATTACTATGCATCTGTCAAAAAGCATGGATGGACCCAGAGACTGTTATGCTAAGTGAAATAAGTCAATCCGAGAAAGACAAATATCACATGATCTCACTTATTTGTGGAATCTAGTGAACAAAACAAATTGACCAACAAAATAAGATCCAAAGCATGGAAGCATGTAACAGACTGACATACCTCAATGGAGGGTTGGGGAATAGGAGAAACCAAAGAACTTATATACTTATTAGAGGCCTGATGCACTGATTCGTGCATGGGAGGGATCCTCTCACAACCTGGGACCCCTTGGGGGATGTAGCAATGTGCCAAGCAATAACAGGCCAGGGAGGAGCCTGAACTGGGGCCGGGCGACATGTCACTTGAGCCTGCCATCACCGCTCAGTAGTGCTGCAGTGGAGTCAGGAGAGGCTCCAGCCACCACAGCTGCACTTGCCAGCCATGAGCCTGGCTTCTGGCTGAATGGCGCACCCCATGTGGGTGCACACTGACCACCAGGGGCACCTCCTGGATTGAGCATCTGCCCCCTGGTGGTCAGTATGTGTCATAGTGACTGGTCGACCAGTAATTAGGTTATAACAGTCACTTAGGCTTTTTTATATAGATAGATATGCATAGCCTATTGACAGGGACAATAGGGTGGTGAATAGGGGCTGGGTGAAAGTGGGGGGGGGGGAGAATGGGAGACATCAGTAAGACTGTCAACAATTTATTATCCTATATAAATAAAAATCCTAACATGCAAATGAACAGCTCAATGACCAGACCAGTTACTATGACACACACTGACCATCAGGGGGCACTCAATGCAGAAGCTGCCCCCTGGTGATCAGTGCACTCCCTAAGGGGGAGCACCGCTCAGCCGGAAGCTGGGCTCATGGATGGTGAGTGCAGCGGTGGTGGCAGAAGCCTCTCCCACCTCCACAGCAGCGCTAAGGACCGCTCCGTGGATGTCCACCTGCTGGCTTAGGGTCCCAGACTGCGAGAGGGCACAGGCCAGGCTGAGGGACCTCCCACTGTGCACGAATGTCTAGAATATATAACAAATGAGCCAATAATGGAAACAAAAAGGCTCTGCTAAAGGTAAAATGACCCCACATCATTTCTGTGAGCCTCCGATATAACAGAAAATTGATTATGCAGATGTTTACAGTGACAGTGCTTAAGAACTGCAAGATGATCATTTTCTGAAATATCAAGCCTCTACCTAGTCAGCCTACTTTTAATTTTCTGTATATATATTTTCTAATTACATAAAAACTTGAAATTTATAATTTTATGTATACTCGAAAATAGAGTGCTTTACTAATGCTTTCCTCTATCATTTGTTCAGGTAATAGAAAAAGATTTGTATGATGACATGCATCAAGTACAGAGTGACACAACTATTCATTTGAACACTATTAAATACAAATTAAGCATTTCTAAATATTCAACTAGAAATCACACGTCTTTAGCTCTAGTGAAGGCTTAGAAAAGTTTATTTTGTGCTTAGAATATTTTTCTAAAGCATTACATTACTACACATCCAAACTCAGTGGTAGAATACTTAATATTCTAAAGGGGAGGCATTTAAAGGTAACTGTTGTACATTATGATACTAAGTCTAATGAACCCACCGAGGAAGAATCTAAATGAGAGGGGACATTACAGAAATCATCTATTACATAATAGACAGGCGATTCATTCTGAATACTAATGGTTTTTCCCTTCTCAGAGCCAATACAGTTCTCTATTGCCACCCCACACTGACCTCATTTTTGCTGTGTTCTAACTCTTTAAAGAGTAAAAATACACTAAATGTCCATCCTGCTGATTCCCACTTATGAAATAACACAATAGAAAGTACAGAGTACAAAGTATGTCTTCTCAAACACATAAAAACATTTTAAAACATCGATACAATGACTTTAAAAAACCAATTAAGAACTTTCTGTATGTAAGGAAAATATATATTGAAAACTAACACTATAAAAAATTATTTTCCCTCAGTAGAATGCTAACTTTATATCAGATTAAGCTTCTGTGAATTTTTAAAATATAAAATAGCTTTTTCACAACAAATAAAATCAGGAATGTTCACATTCACATTTAAAAAAAAGTACAAGTTCAATAAGAATGACTCAAAAATCTAATGAGTGGCCAAAATGTTATATCAGTAGGTAGCTCCTCAAGTTTTAAAAAATATATTTTTATTGATTTCAGAGAGGGAGAGAAAGACATCAATGAGAAAGAATCACTGATTGGCTGCTTCCTGCATGCCCTCACTGGGGACCAAACTTGCAACTCAGGAATGTGTCCTGACCGGGAATCAAATCATGACCTCCTGGTTCATAAGTCAATGCTCAGCCACTGAGCCACAGTGGCAGGGCTGTTCAATTTTAAACAGCCCTCAGTAAACTTGTTTGCAACGACAAAATAAAATGCTATTTATTAAAACATGAAAAATATTTCCAGGGTACTATCATGTTTGGAAAATGGAAAATGTAACCCATGGTAAGAAACACACACTGACCACAGGAACAAAAATAGCAGCCGGTCTTATAGAAATCAAGAAAACACCATGGACTTATGAAAACTTCCTAAATCAGTAGCATATCTATGTGTAAAAAACTATAATTAAGGTAGTTTTTATTAGTTTTACAATCTAAAAATACAAAGAAATTTTGAACTGTATTTAAAAGGACCAGATTTGTCAGAAATGCTATTTTTTGAGACAGTAGGCAAAGTTCCCATTTATGGGAAATATGGTGTGTTTTTCACAAAGTGAAACTGAAAAAAAAAATTATAAAATGAGAATTTTTTTCTGTAATCTCCTTAAATACCTCAATAATGCAATACTTGGGAAGTGTAGGTTTTCAACTCAGAAAAATTTTATTATGAAAAATGTTATTAAACATACACAAATCTTATTGCTTGGCACCAGATTCTTCAAAATATTAAAAAATTGTTTAAACCACCATACTATTGTTATATCCTATTTCAAACTTTTTACATAGTGCTCTTTTATTTTCTGAAGGCAGACCTTTCAATCTAATGACAATATAGACTGAGTCCTTCAGTGTACAAAGTCACAGTTCACTTCAAACCAAAAGAAATGATTAATCTGTTTTTGTCCAAATCATATTGATATTCATAAAAATTAACTAGGATTTATCTGTGGCCAATGAAGGACCCACAGAGCGTTGTCTGATGGCACTCTGTGGAAAGTCTTTGTTTGTTCCTTCTTTCCTTTCAGCTTCTTCTTCTGAAACATCTGCGTCATCAGCCTCGTGTTCCTCCTCCACTTTTCTCAAAGGTTGAGAAGATTCTGGTAATAATTTTTCTTAAAGATAAAGATCACAAAATGGTTTTTTTTGTTGATATACTAGATTTACGTTAGTGTAAAAATACACAACTCATATACCATAAACTGCTTTGGCATTTATTTATCAATCATAAGTTTTGATTTCCAAAAGAAAAAAGTTATCTTCAAGAATAAGAGATAGCATAAAAATAAAAATTGGTTTGCAAGTTCAATTTTAGTTACCAAATTCATTATTATTACCTATTTATAAATTTAAATTAATGAATCAAATTAACACTATAAATATGGATGTTTTAAGAAAATATACTTATTAAATATAACTATCTTATATTAATTTGCTATTAAGTCCTTTAAGTAATAAGTATACTGAAACAAACTTCAGCACTATCCTTGTTTCAGTTCTCATGTGAACAGCAATCAAACATTTACAGTTGAAGGTTATATTCCTACCCATGTTTTTTCATGTGGTTTCATAAATGTGATCCTCTATACCACATGTACTTTTACTAAGGTACTGAGGCCCAGTGCATGGAATTTGTGCATGGGTAGGGTCCCTAGTGGCTGTGGGCTGCTGGGGTCTTCCTGCTTTCTGCACTGTCCCCTAGTGGTCAGTGCACGTCATAGTGAGCAATCAGCCGAGGCCGGTTTGGCTCAGTGGTAAAGCGTCGGTCTGCGGACTGAAGGGTCCCAGGTCAAACTCCCAGTCAGTCAAACTCACGAGAGAACACTTTGCATATTAGGCTTTTATATATACAGGTAATTATAAACGATAAAATGTGCTAATTTTTAAATATATACACATATACTCTTTTTACTTTTTTTAATAAGGCCAGTTGCTAGTTAACTAAAACTTAGAATACACCATGTTAAACTGACATCAAAACACACAATTGGGCCAATGAGTTTTAACTCTCTTCAGCATTCCTAGACTGCCCCTAATCCTAAGCAATCAATCCAGAATGGAGGGGGAAAATACAGGGACAAAGCGAAATGTCCCTTTTTCTGTTTAGTCAATAGCCTCTTCTCTATACCACATCTCTTGTAGTTTTGGTGAGCACCACGTTTACAGCAGTGGTCTCCACCAGGGATGATTTTGCCACCCAAGAAACATGTGGCAATGTCTGGAAATACTTTTGATTGTCACAATTGAGAGGTGGTGCTCCTGGAGACCAACAGGATGCTAAATATCCAACATCATACAAAAGACAGTCCGTCATAATTAAAAATTATGCAGCCTAAAAGATCAATAGTGTCAAGGTTGAGAAGCCCTGGTTTACAATGACTGTTGCAAGTGAGCCCTTTATACAAATGGAATGCACCAGGATTTTTTGAAAAGATGGGATTAGGGGAAAGGTGTATTTCCTTCCTTTTCTGCAATTGTGAGTTATAATCATTTTATGCTAAAGGCTGAAAAGAGCCAAAAATGGAACAAATAAAGACAAGGAGAACTGAGCAATTCAGAAATATAACATGCTAACATCTGAGCCCTAGGATCCAATCAACTCTGCCCTCAGATTTCCTTGCTACATAAACCAATAAATTCCTATTTTGTTTAAAGCTCGACTGAGTTGGGTATTTCCCTAGCACTCAAAATCTAAGACAAACGCACATCCTGGAAAACAACTCAAATCATGTAGCCCATTTGTCAACTGTAATAAAAAAGAAAAATCTTAAATGAATAAATAAGCAAGTAATAAAGTAATAAAACAATATAAAAATGTTCTTACTGGAAGGGTATGGCTGTGGTCTGTGTCTTCTTGAAGGACAAAGGCAATCTGCCAAAAATATCATACACTGCAAAAACAAACATAAGAAATCCAAATATATAACATGTGAAAAAGCTAGTGCAACTATATAAAATTATCAAACTTTACAATATTTTTCTTCCCAGTACTCTATAAATAAGGTACTTACAAGTCCTAATAATAGTCCTGAAAGCAGAGTTGCTAAAGCAAAAACTGTATATGATCCCCATACCGGTAATCCAAGGTCCTCAATAAAATAGTTATGGCAAGTCTAAAATTAAAAGAAAAAATTAACCTAAAAACCTGGTCATTTAAAAAGCATATGTCAAAAATGTTTAACGTAGAAATAAAATTTTAACTCATACCCTGATCCACATAGATAGCTGAAAGAGTGCTGACATACTACTCATCCTAAAATAAAAGCAAGATGATTAAAAAACTGGATAAGATATATATCTTTGAAGTATAATATGTGTATATAGCTATATATTCTATTTTTCACTCTAATTTCCCAGCAGGCTAGATTTTATTACTGGTGTTCATCAAGATTAGTCCTACAGTACTAATTTCAAGACTGTAATAATAAGACTTATTAATGAAAATTAAGTTTCTGATAATTGTTGCCACTATGTGATGTTCTCATAAATAAAACACTTGACTGTTTTTTCATTTTCTCCTATTGCTTTGACATTAATCTTTCACCTTTCATCTGATGACTTCTCCAATGTACTCTGAATAACAGGTTACAAGGTCTATGGAACCAGTCAGTTAAAGTTAGGCATGCTGAAAAGCAAATGGCTCCAAATAAGCCGAGAATCCCTTCATGAGCAGAGCCTGAAAGAAGAACTAGGGCCACTAACTGAGTGGATGGATCTTCCCCACCTGAGAATTACCCCCCTTTCATATTAACATTAAATAAAACTGATAATAGCATTAATTTGATATAGCTTAATGATATATAAAATAATTATATAGAAGACAAATGCTAAACCATCATATAAATAAAACTAATGATTATTTTCACATAATGAAACCCACATGGACAGTTAAAAAAAGGCATGCTTTCCCTGGCTGGTTTAGCTCAGTGGATAGAGCATCTGCCTGCGAACTCAAGGGTCCCAGGTTCAATTCCGGTCAAGGGCATGTACCTTGGTTTCAGGCACGTCCCCAGTAGGGGATGTGCAGGAGGCAGTTGATTGATGTTTCTCTCTCATCGATGTTTCTAACTCTCTATTCCTTTCCCTTCCTCTCTGTAAAAAACCAATAAAGTATATTAAAAAAAAAAAAAAAAAAAAAAAGGTATGCTACAAAAATAAGGGTTTATTGGTTCCCAACTGTTTGCCACCAACACATAAACCAATTCATACATAAGCCAAAGTTCCTATATGCAGGATGACCTGATTCAACTGCCAATCATTGGGTAAGGGAACCTGCTGAGCTGACACGCATTGTGAGTGCCCCTCATTCAGTCTACCAATAAAAAAGGTATGGGCTGCTGCCCTGAGGATTCAACAGAGACTCAGAAGCAACCTTCTTCTTGTACTGAAAGGGTAAAAAGACTCATTTATGAAATTTTAAAAACACAAAAATCACTATGCCTAGTGTAGCTCAGTTGGTTGGATACCATCATTGCCACCAAAAGGTTGCTGGTTCAATTCCCAGTCAGGGCACATGCCAGGGTTGTGGGCTCAATCTCCAGTAGACAGCCAATCAATGTTATACTCTTACATTGATGTTTCTCTCTTCCCCCTCCCTTCCTCTCTCTAAAAATCAATAAACTATTCTTAAAAATAATAAAATTAATTACATTTTCAGTTCAACATAGAAAGGTACTTTAATCATGTTGCTTTTGTTTAAAATGCAAGATGAGAAGAGGAACAAGGAATTGAAAAATAAAGCACTGTATAGCCTCACTATAGTTTGAACTAATTAGACTCTAACACAAATAATAGGTCCCTTAATTGGATTAGATATGGTGGTTCAGTGTGGGAATTCTGACAAATCAATTCCGAAATTTTTCACAGGAGAGGTTTAAGAGAAAGATGGAAAAGATAGCTTCTATTTCAAAATAATATTTAGGGACTGATCTTTCCCCTACTTGCAGAATCCAGAATCAGTTTTTTATCTCTTATACCATTGGTGCCCCAACGCCCCATATTCCAACAGCATGTGTGGTGAGATGACAAGGAAGAGACAGCTTAGTCACACCAGGATGTCAGTCCATAGTGACCTCAGCAAAACTCAATAATCCTGGAAGTCTCATATGACCCATAAGGCATTGCACCCCAATGACTTGGGGGTGCAATGCCTTATGGGTCATAATGAAATATGCATGCTATTTCCAATGCTTACTGCTCCACAACAAGCTGCTACCCTCTAGTTATATGTAAAGCTCAGTGGTTAGTCATGATATTAGGGTTATTGTTCATCCATCTATTCAAACAAAAAGTTATCAGAAAGTGATTCCATGACATTAAATCAAGAACTAAAATCTAAAGGTTAGCATAAGTTAGTTCTCATTCAAATATTAAGCTCAGATGATAGCTTTACCCATTATGCTGTTCACGCTCTTAGGATTACTTAGCTTTTGATGATACAAATGACCACATAGACATAAAGTTAAAACATTCCTGAAAAAGCTTTCAACTTAATTTTATAAAATGTCTCCTAACTTGATAAGAATCAAAGGATCTGTTTAACTTAGAAGAGTCAAATCAAAAATATCACATAAGAAGTCCAAGTATGTCTTATTTACATGAAATATAATTCTCTGTTCTAATTGAAACTGAAATAAGTAAGAGAAAAATCCCTCATACTTACAGAATAGAGCCTGGACCAAACCATGATGAAACAGGTTCAATACTCTTCCATTCCTTTTCACTTATAAAGTTTATGAAATCTTTTTTAGTCCTTGGGCCCTGATAGCGCCTAAATTCACCATCCTTACAACTGAAGAGGATCAGAATTAAATATTAACCAGCACAAAAAATTAAACAATTTGCTTTGCTATTTCTTTAATCTCACTATACAATTAATCCTAATATTCAAAGTCATTAGCAATGCACAAATAGCAAATTACATTATTTATCAACTCACAATATCTTAGCCCAAAATTTAATTAAACAATAAGGTTATATTTTTATACAATCATAAGTCTTAAGACTGTTTCTGTTATTCTTCCAAATAATAAATTATGAAAAACAATGTCATTATAAAATACAAAGTAGAGAAATCTCAGAAAATGACTTTTAAGACTTATTTATAATACACATATTACATGAAAAGTTGTTAGAAAGTGTTTGTTACATATTGTCAGTTATTGTTAAGCTATAGGTTAAGCATTTAAGGCAATTTTCTAGTACTTTCAGTCATAATCACATCGTCTCAGGCATCATGCCTTAAATCACGGGAGGCATCTGGCAAAGTGTTTCCCTTCGTCCTATTTCAGTGATTCTACTGTACAGTCTGCTGTGGCCGATGTCCTAACATCGACCTGGTTCTTCCCAATCCCAGCGTACGCTGTCACAGGGTCATGATACCTTCCCTACTCCCACCATTCCCAAACTACCTTAAATAGTACTGTCAGTCTAATTCTACTTATTAACACTTTTATTTTTATCACTTAAATTCAACAACTTTCAATAGTTCCCTATTACCTATCGTAGGGTTAAAGGATCCTTTATCCATCCACAGTTAAATACCACAAGTAAGCCAAAAAACAAAAGTTTTGTGGGGGGAAAATGGCATTTGACCTGTTTTTGAAGGACAAATAAGATTTGAAAAGACAGAAATTAGGGGAAGGGGCAAGATAAACATGATTAAAAGAAAATGGGCAGGAAATTCCAGGTATGTTCAAGGGGTGTTGAAAAGTGAAAAGAAAAGGGGGAGTCTGATTATAGCCATGTAAGGGGCCTGTAGAGAAATGTACTGATTGAAAAGGAAAAGAAGCACTTGGAGAGATAGAGAATAGACATTTAAAGAAACAAAGGGAGTAGGGAAGAATAAAAAAGGTACAAGTAAACAAATGTAAACATGGAAAGACAACAAAGAAAAGCAAAATATAGACACACAAAGAACTGCCAACTTATTTTCATAACTTTAAATGAGGAGAGTGGTACCTCCTGGCATTCAACCCACCAGTTAGATGAGTATTAAGGTACAGGGCAGGTACACAGATTTGAGATTTCTTATCCCCACTTAGATGATAAAGTCAAACTAAAAAAGACTTGATACTGAAGACTACATAATATTATTCATTCTGACTTAACACCCAACTACCGTATTTTTCGGACCACAAGACGCACTTTTTTTCCCCCAGAAGTGGGGAAAAAAGTCCCTGCGTCTTATGGTCCAAATATAGCCTACACATATACTTTAAAAAAAGTTTTTTTACTTGCCCGGCTCTGTGTGGTCTCTGTGTGCTTGCCCAGCTCTAAAATGGTTCTAAATGCTGCTGTTTACTTTATAGGGTTGATTACATGTGTTTATGACTGTGATGTTGGGTTTTAATGCACATAAAATATTTTAGGACACTATTTGTTTCAGAATCTTTTTTTCTTCATTTCCCTTCTCTAAAAACTGGTGCGTCTTATGGTCCGGAGCGTCTTATGGTCCGAAAAATACGGTATTTCTCCAAGGTTGAGCTATCGTACGTTCTAGCTAATTTTTTAACATATCACATTCCCATTTATAAAGACTTACGAGACTACCCTTAGGATAGAATGCTTACTTACTCTGTGCTACCTCCAACGTTGCATTTCAACTCCATAATCTCCATGAACCATTCCAGCCCAGTGATTTTTCCCTTACCACACTTCCTTCAGGACCTACCACAACTCTGAGCTCAAAAACACTTAACTATGCTGAAGCGTAGCAAACCATTTCATGTGAACATCACCTTTGAAAACTATTACAAATCTCTGAGTTCAGGGATTGTTTCATATATCGTTCATTTATCTAACAGCATCTAGAATAGCACTAGCAGTTAATAAGCCTCCTAACATACTTAATGAGTATAATGCTCTTAAACGTGACACAGGCCAGAGGTCTACTATTCTGATTATACTATGATGCATCCTTCTCCATAACTACCAAATCTTTAAATACTTACTGATAAACAGTAGGTAGAGCAGTTATGATAAATCTTCCACTTAGGCCTGCAAATGATAAAGATTAGAAATAAATATAATATAAGGAAGATCACAAAGTAGGTTTTATATGGGCTGTTCACTAGCTACTTAAAAGATTATTCTGGCCCTGCCTGGTTTGGCTCAGTGGATAGAGTGTTGGCCTGCGGACTCAAGGGTCCCAGGTTCTATTCCAGTCAAGGGCATGTACCTTGGTTGCGGGCAGTGGGGGGGCGGGGGAGGGGGGAGTGGTTGCGGGCAGTGGTGCAGGAGGCAGCTGATCAATGTTTCTCTCTCATCAATGTTTCTGACTCTCTATCCCTCTCCCTTCTTCTCTGTAAAAAATCAACAAAATATATTTTTTTAAAAAAAGATGATTCTGATTTAAATATTAATAAGGAAAAAATATTAAATTATACCTAAAAGTTGTTGGGTTTTATAACATAAACAACAAAAAATCCTATTTACCTATAGCAACTTAAAAACACTACTACATATTATCAATTAAAAAGTGAATTTATAAACACTTGATCAATTATACCACTGTTCCTATATAATAAAAGTATAGTATGCAAATTGATCCCTCAATCGGGAAGTTGTCCAGGAGTCTGACCAGGGGGTGGGGCAGGCTGGGGGCCGACTTCCTTCTGGACAAAGCCATAGTGGTAGGGATTGAGGTAGAGGCAGTTATGGGCAATCAGGCCGGCAGGGGAGAGCAGTTAGAGATGAGAATCAGGCTGGCAGGGTAGGTTAGTTGGGGGCAACCATTTCCTGCAGGGAGGGCAGTTGGGGATGACCAGGCCAGCGGGAAGGGTAGATGGGGGCAAGATCAAGTAGGCAGGGGAGGGCATTGGGGGCAATCTGGCCTGCAGGAGAGGGCAATTGGGGGCACCTAATGCAGGCAGGCTGGTGAGTGGTTAGGAGCCAGTGGTCCTGGATTGCGAGCGGGATGTCTGACTGCGGGTATCCCTCAGCCCGGTCTGCACCCTCTCCAATCTGGAACCCCTTGCTTCTTACCTCCTGCCAGCTTGCTATTCCTTACCACTGCTTCTTAACACTGTTTCGGAGGCAGGAGAAGCTCCCGTCACCTCCGCTGCACTCACTAGCCATGAGCCCACCTTCTGGTGGAGCAAAGCTCCCCCTGTGGGAGCACACTGACCACCAGGGGGCAGCACCTGCATTGAGCGTCTGCCCCCTGGTGGTCAGTGCACACCATAGTGACTGATCATTCTGGTTGTCCACCATAACGGTTGCTTAGGCTTTTATTATATAGATGGAATAGGAGCAGAGTCAGGAACCCAGGTATACCATGACCAAGAACAGGTAAGAAGAAACTAGAGTAAGAAAGGGGCATCCCTAAGGGCAGGACCTACCACTTGTCCAGAGGGCCAAGTCAGGAGTGTACCTGACCCCACAACCATGCAGACTTTACATGGAGACAGTCTTCAAATAACAGGTATTAAATTTAGAACACAATTACAGATTCAGACCACTTGTCAAGAAATATGACCTTGACTCTACAAAGAACATGGTGGCTTGGCCAATGTCCACTGGACCACAGTGTTCTAAGACTTCTTAGAGGCATCTTACATTCTAGTGTGGGGCCTGGGTTACAAAGCAAAAAAGGATCAGTCATGTGAGGAAGATGTCTCCAAGGTCCCTTAGAAAAACACAGAAAAGGAATAAGCTGCATACACAACTAGGGAATCTGCTTTTTGCAGCCACTGCACACTAAGCCCCCATGAGGGAGTGAGGGAGTTGGCTTAGCTAACTGCAGACAGTTATGTTTTCAAAACCTAATGAAGATAGAGTGAAGACCATGTGATGTGGAAAACAGAATAAACATATCAGCCCAGCATGGAAAGAAACAAAACTACCCACAGACTTACAGTACCTGGCTGCTCTGTAACATCTACTTTTGCAACATTAATCTCAAGATCTTCTCCCCATTCAGCAAAACTTTCCCATTCAGGTTGAAGATTTTGACAAGCAGGGCACCATGGAGCAAAACTGAGAAAAACATTTAAAATAAAAAATTAGAAAACATTCCAATACAACCATACTGAAATAAAAATTATAGAATGTGTAATTTATGAAGAATATTTTATACTAAAAGCAAGATAATAGAGTGATTACTTTTGTGAAAATGAAAAAGTTTTAAATTTAGACCTAACACCTGATCAAGACCTAATCAAGAACTATGAACTGATGATGCTAATCACATAAAAGTAATCCTGAGATTAAGTTAAGATAATAGGACTTTTCACATGCAAACATCTCTTTTAAAAAACCTTTGGCCCTAGCCAGTTTGGCCCAGTGGATAGAGCTAGACAGAGCATTGGCCTCAGGACTGAAGGGTTCTGGGTTTGATTCTGACCTAGGGCATGTACCTCAGTTGCAGGCTCCATCCCCTGCCCTCGTTGGGACGCATGTGGGAGGCAATCTATGTGTCTCTCTCACACCCATAAATGTTTGCCTCCCCCTCCCTTCCACTCTTTCTAAAAAATTAATGGAAAAATATCCTCAGTTTAAAATTAATAAAACAAACAAAAAAGAACCATTGGATTTTCCCATTAAAATGTGGCCACCATAAAGCTCGAAGCCAAATTTGGAGTTCACTAGTTTTAATAATTTTACACTGAAGGAGTGTCAAATGCAAGGTGCCAGAATGAGAAAAACAGGAAGCACCCAGGACTGTGGTGAATAAATAAGGAACTTGCATCCCACCTGAAACAGGAAACCACTACTCAGGATGACTGCCACAAGAATTCTGGCCCAGTGTGGCAAGCTATCTTATCTTACCTAAAAGAGGCCAAAAAAATCTGCATTTTTATATAAATGGTCTCTCAAAATGTAAGCCATAGACACACACATTAGACAGACCAGCGTGTTTTTAACATCTCGTTTCCAAACCTATGACCAAGCATGTAGGGATTTTTTTTTTAACATAACCTAACCCAAGGATATTTTTCCATTGATTTTTAGAGAGAGAGTGGGAGAGGTTAAGATAGAGAGAAAAATGGAAGTGAGAGAAACACAATTGGTTGCCTCCTGCACGAGCCCTGACCAGGGCCCAGGCCGAGGAGAATCCGTTTACAGAATAATCAAACCTGGGACCCTTCAGTCTGCAAGCCAACGCTCTATCTACTGTATGAAGCCAGCTAGGGCCATGTTAGGATTTAAATTACTCCTGGAGTATTCAGCGTTTTCAAAGCTCTGACTTTTCCCTAATATTTGTTTTTTCCACTTTATTGTATTACTAGTATTCTCTTATAATTTGCTTTAGGTTTTTACCTGTTAAACACAAAAGTAGTTTCTGCACTCCATTATGTATAATACCTAACTTAGTTTATTAAAAAATAAATCCCCTAAAAGTACAGCATTGTGGAATACAACTAGTACCACATATAAAAGCCAAAATTCATAACAACACTATTACAATGAAAATAATTCAAATCACCTATACTTCACTTTTGACGGATGTATTTATACAGTTGGATCAAATTCAGTTTCTAGAAATTTCCTTCAGTAATGCTTGACTGTATTGTGCATATAAACTCATAATCACTATTGTTTAACACATTATTTGTGGTACAATACTTCATGAACACAATCTAAAACAAGTTCCTAATAAAAACTAAATATCGTAACATGCTATATCAATGGTGCCTGAAAATTCATTTCACTGAGTTACTGGTTTTATTCATACTATAAACATTTTCCCCTGTCTTACCCTCTATATAAATGAACATTTGATTTTTGACTGCAATTACTGACTTAGCATTATGGGTTTCCCCTTAATGATGTCCAAGTCCACCTGCATCCTAAACTGGCAACCCAACAATCCAGGAAAACACTCCCTGAATTCTGGGTCAAGGGAGGGGGTCTAACAGCTATTACTGCATGCCCACCCTGCGCAGGCTTGGGAACAGAGGAAGCAGCATAGCAGTACCTGGACAGGTTAATTAGATCTTTAGGTATCTGCCGCTCATCTGTCAAGCGTGGGCAATAATATTTATTTTATAGAATTTGGAGAGGATTAAGGTTAATAATATGTGTAAAGTGCTTAGCAGTGTCTAGTACACAGTTAACACTCAATAACGGTGTTTTTTGTTTGTTTGTTGTTTTTTTCTACCAATGTAATTAATATCAATATCAATAATAATGCCACCACTACCACCAATTTAAAAACTATAGCAAAGGCAGATAGGTTCTTTTCTACCGATGTAAAAAGCATCTCATTATAAGGAATCACCACAGACTTGTGATTTTCTTCGAACAGAGTTTATAATCACACTCATACATTAATTTTATCTTTAATGCAGTACCACTTGCAGAGCATTAAGAGTCACAACCCAGTACATTCAGTTCTCTGCAAACAAATACACACACACACACATGCACAAAAAAGAAATGAGAAGTGTAGAAAGAGAAAAGCAATGAAAGGAAAAAATGATCAAGGGAACAAAGATTTTTTAAAAATTAACCCAGGTTGAATGTACGTGGCACTGTAAAAAAATAAATTAAAAAAAAATATATATATATATATACATATATACCTAATCCATAAAATAATATGTAAAACAAAAGTCCCCAATTCCTACACTCTAGATGGACTTCCTTTTAAGGACAATTAAAAGGAGAAGCGAGGTTCTGCTCAGATTCCTTTTGTGAAATCGGGTGAAAATAAATCTGAGTCCGCCTATGAAGCACCACTCTAAAGTAAATGACTGTAACGGAACTAGTCACGTCAAACACCCACCCCTAAAGCCCTGAATTAAAGTTCAGAGAGAACCGAAAGGCAACCTCGCTGGCGCCCCCCGTCCCTGGACGCGAAGCCGGGGCGCGCGTGAGGCAGAAGCTTAACCCTCGCGGGGAGCGGGAAGGGGGCGGGACCGAGCCGGCATCCCCACGGGAGGCGCGGCGGGCTCCGCAGGCGGCAGTGACAGCCCCCGGGACCCGGACCCGCGTGAGGGGCAGGGGGCGACGTCGGGTGCCCAGGCTTGGAACTCGGACCCCAGCCCGCCCAGCCTGCCCAGCCCACCGAGAGGGGCCCCCCGAGACAGCCACCCGCGCTCACAATTCTATCATCCACTCTCCTTCCAGCAAGTCTCTCCAGTTCTCGTCCGTGATGACGCGCACGTCGCTCCGCCGCCCGTGGGTCCGGGGAGCCCCACAAAGCAACAGCATCAGGACTGCCACGGGAACCAGGGGACTCGCGGGGGCCGCCATGTCGGCCGCTCGCCCACCCGACAGCAAGCGCCGCGGCCCCACCTCCGCGCACTAGCTCCTCACTTCCGCCCCGGCGGGCCGATCTGCTCATGCGCAAGGCCGCGCGGCGGGACGCGTGCGCGCCTGGTGGACGCTCAGTGTGTGGAGGACGCCTTGTGGTAGGGAGGGAAGCGCGCCTGTCCCTAGTGCGCATGACAGAAAAGCGGTCTCTGCTCACTGTCTGGTGTGCCCCGGTGTTGCTAGGCAGAAAAACAACAGGGGGCGTGGTGTAGAAAGGGGGCGGGGCTTCGGGGAGGAAGGCTTTCAAAGGTCAGGATTTGGTGCCAACTGATTGGCATTTTGTAATTGCATTACTTTAATTTCCGATTAAATGCCCTTCAGAGTTTTCATTTGTTTCCTTTGGGGAAATTTTTGTAGTAAAGCTAATGGATGTATAGATGAGTTCAGAATATTGGTTTTACTTCTGGGGGATTATAAACTGGAAAGGGGAACCATATGAAGTACCCTTTATAGTCTATGTCTTAATCTGAACATTAGTTACAGGGGCATACACAAACGTAAAAAGCCAATCGAGCTGTACATGGTAAGGTTAATGCACTTTAGGATGTATGTTATCCTTCAGTTTTTCTAGTGCAATAATCACAAAGATGCTAGATCAGAAATCAAGAGAGAACAAATATGAGTGCAAGTCATAACGTGCACTCTTTAGAAAGTGTTAATCACTCATATGAAAATGGTTGCCATTACACCTCTCACCTCACATTCTCTCCTAAACTCACTCCAATTGGCCACTTCCCCAACCCTCCACTGAAAGGCCTTTTCTAGGACACCGGTGATCTGCATGTTAATAAACCCAGTAGTTTTTTCTCAGTATTGACCTTACTTGACTGCCAGCAGCAACTTACAATCACCACACCCTCTATGAAATGCTTTCTTGTCGTCCCTTCAGTGGTGCCTTGCTTATTTTTTTGTTTGTTTGTTTGTGTTTTTTGTTGTTGTTCCTTCTAAAATTTCTTGACAAACTCCTCTGGTTGACTTCCAGACAGTGGCTTGTTGCATGATGCTGTACTGGTCCCCTCCTTTTCTTTATATCCCCACACTCCTTCAGATAACCTCAGTCTTGGCTTTAAAAGCCATGAAAACGCCTGTTGTTCCAGCCCCGACCCTTCTGGGAACATTGGGCATATAAACTCAACTCTTTGCTGGATATATTTTGAGTATCTAATAGACAGTTCCCATAACATGGCCAAAAAATAAAATTCTTGATTCTCACTCTTCTAGTTTTTCATTTCTGTAAAAGATTCCGAATTCTATCTGGTTGCTCAAGACAAAAATTTACATTTTAGTTCTTTATTGCTCTCTCTCTTCTCTCCTTCCATATGTGCTCCATCAGCAAGTTCCATGATCATATTTAGAAATTTATTATTTATTTCCATATATTTGTGAATTTCAAAAAATCTTTCTGTTAGTAATTTCTAATTTCACTATATTGTTATCAAAGATCATATTGTCTATGATTTCAATCCTTTCTAATTTGTTGAGATTTGTTTTATGGCCTAGCATATGGTCTCTTCAGAGACAGAATGTTCCATCCTTTAATAAAAATTTGCATTCTTCTGTTGTTGATCAGAGTGCTCTGTAAATGTCTGTGTTAGTTCTAGGTGGTGTATAGTGTGGTACAAGTGTTCTAATTCTTACTAATGTGTCTGAGTGTTCTATCCATTATCAAAAGTTAGCTATGGAAGTCTCCAACTATTACTGTTGAATTGTCTAATTCTCTTTTTGATTCTGACAGTTGGTGTTTCATGTATTTTTTAAAATATATATTTTATTGATTTTTTACAGAGAGGAAGGGAGAGAGATAGAGAGCTAGAAACGTCGATGAGAGAGAAACATCAGCCAGCTGCCTCTTGCACACCCCCTGCTGAGGATGTGCCCGCAACCATTGTACATGCCCTTGACCGGAATGGAACCTGGGACTCTTCAGTCCGCAGACCGACGCTCTACCGCTGAGTCAAACCGGTTTTGGCATATTTCATGTATTTTGAGGCTCTGTTGTATATATATTTATAATTGCTATATATTTCTGGTGGATGGACTATTTTATCTGGTAAAACGCCCCTCTTTACATCTAGTAATGTCTTCTTGTTCTATTTTGTCTGATATTAGTATAGCCACTTAGAGTGACTTTGTTAAATTAACACACACATGCACACACACAAACACAAAGGTTATTAGAGCCCTGGGTGTCACATGGTTAGCCAAAGTTCAATAGAAGACCACAAGGAAAAATGCAATAGAAAAGTTTATTACTTACAAGTACTGGAGGAAGTGCATGGCATGTCTGGAGGTCTCTGCAGGGTGCAGGAATAGAGAGTGGCATGACCTGCATCAAATGCCTTTATTAGAGTCAGTGAGTGGGATGCTTTGGAGTTCCCAGGCTAAAACCAGAATTGTCAATTCAAACCAGAAGGAGCACAGTTTGGGCAAGCTTCACAGAAGTCTTATCTAAAGGGCACACAAAGTGAAGGCCCTAGGAGGAGAGGGGAGACTGTTAATCACAAGGGCCTTCGGTGGAGTCAGATCAGGAATTTACATCTACTTGTGACTCTGTGTGCTGTTATCTACCAGGGGTCCTCAAACTTTTTAAAGTGGGGGCCAGATCACGGTCCCTCAGAGAGCTGGAGGGCCGGACTATATGAACTACTAATTCCTACTGTAACACCTCGGCTGCGCTCACTGCCCAAAAAACCTGGCGGGCCGGATCAGACTCCTCTGCAGGCCGCATGTGGCCCGCGGGCCGTAGTTTGAAGACGCCTGTTAGACCATGTGCTCCTGGGAGGGCCTGGTGTCAATTCAAGGCCCCTGCAGGTTGCTTGGCCACACAAAATAGATGCCAAGGCAGCAATATTATGGAGTAGCTCAGCTAAACCCCCTGATAGCTATACTCTCTGTGAGATAACGTCTTCAAATGGTCTCTTTAAGCTAAGATTAGGAGGGTTAATTAGTCTCCTTTCCCATCTGGATGCAGAAAGGCAAAAGTAAGGATCATTCTAAATTTGTGAGGCTGGCTTTAAATTTTAATTTTAAAGAAGCTTATTAAATGTTTTATAATGTTCTTGTTCATGCATAACATGTTTAAATCTAGCCAAGGAAAAGTATAAGTGTTCAAAGGGATACCATGTGAAACTCTAAATTGAGTACATAAAAAGTTGGCCATCTGAGGAGTTACTAGTTACTAATATAATTAGTTGGCACATTACCGGGGTTTTATAACTTAATATTAACTTGATATATGCTATTGCAATTGTCTAAACGGCACAAGGGAAGCTAAAGCTATAGACACTAGGCCTAAATTCTGAAGTCTCATCTATTTCAGGAGGATAAAGAGAAGAGTGTTCACTTCTGATACAAGCAGCAACTCTTACCACACAGATGGTTCAAGGCATAGAAGGAATAATAAATGATGCAGAATCTGGACAAGAACCGCTTTAACTGGACCAGGGCCAAGGTGGTTGTCTGAGCACACCAGAGATGTCACTTAACAGCCCCATTTTAATGATAACTTTAATGGTGGCTAGGAACCTGGTTCTGGAGTTGGACAGACCAGCATTTCCAATTTTGGTTGCACTACCTACTTACCCCTTCTAATTTTCCATTTCCTCATCTGTTATATAGAAAAGATAGCTCCACCTCAAAGGTTTGCTGTAAGCATTAAATGAGTTAATATATACAAAACAATCCTATCTGTTAGATCATGTCATTTCCCAGATCAAAATCTTCCAGTGGCTTTCTATGAGATTTAGAAATCCAACTGGTCTACCAGGTCCTGACCTAGCTACTAACTTGGCCACCATTTGATATATTATAGAACTATTACTTCTGCCTCCACCACTACCACCACCTAACCTAACTACCACTCTGACATTGTTTCTTCTCACTGTTTCCCTTCCTTACAGCACCTCATCCACTGGCCTTATTACTCAAGCATGCTAAGCTCTCTCCTACCTCAGGGCTTTCGCACTTGCTGTCACTCTGCCTGGAACATTCTTTCCCTATATTTTCATGGATTATTTGTCCATGGTATTCAGGTCTTTACCTAAATGTTACCTGCTGAGAGACCTTTCCTAACTATTCCTTTTATTCCTTTATCTTTCTTTATTTTTTTATTTGTAGCACTTATCACTACTTGACATTATCTATACTAATAAAAGGAAGTATGTAAATTGACCATACCTCCACAATACCCACCAGCTAATCAAGAGGGGATATGCAAATTAGCAGGGCAAAGATGATGGTGGGGCAGGACTACTGCTATGTGGAGAAGGGTGGGGGGCAGAGGGAGCTACAGGAGCAGTGTTTCAGCCAGAGCAAAGCAAAGACTCCGGCCAGAGTAAAGCGATGCCTGCAGACTCTGGCCACAGTCAGCAAGAAGCCTGCGGACTCTGGCCAGAGCAAAGGCCTGGGTCCCCAGTGCTGGAGGAAAACCAGTGCCAGCAGCCAGGTGAAGGAAGGCCTATTGCACAAATCTTTATGCAGCGGGCCTCTAGTATTGTATATTTGTTTGGATGTGCTGATTACTATGGGTCTCCTTCATTAGAATGTTAGTTCCGCCGAAACCGGTTTGGCTCAGTGTAGAGCGTCGGTCTGCGGACGGAAGGATCCCAGGTTCGATTCCAGTCAAGGGCATGTACATTGGTTGTGGGCACATCCCCGGTAGGGGGTGTGCAAGAGGCAGCTGGTCGACGTTTCTCTCTCATCGACGTTTCTAGCTCTCTATCTCCCTCCCTTCCTCTCTGTAAAAAATCAATAAAATATATTAAAAAAAAGAAAAGAAAGAATGTTAGTTCCATGAGGATGTGAAGGAAGAAGGAACTTTCTTTTATTCTTCTAGGTACTTTCCGCTGGTGTAATCATTAAATTGACATGAGAAAGAGTAATAACAGAAAATAACCAAGTTGAATACATACATATGCATGGGAACCCCACGAACATGAAAGAGAGACCCCAGGGACAGAAAGTTAAAATGAGGTATATATGGCATTCTGAGCTAAGGGTGAGGTAAGGTGTCTTGGGGCTTCAAGGAATCATTGCAGGGTAATAAGAAGAGCAGATGTTCAGTAATTAGACAT